CGGCCCCACCCGTCACCTAAAGAGCAAGGAGTGTAGGTCCCACATACAAGATAAGCTTTGGATTCCTTCTTTCGGGTGCAAAAATTCGATTTCAATCAAATTCAAAAAACTTAAACCAAGGTATTTCGATTTTGTTTATGTTGAAACTCGTATAGTACATGCATATTTGTATTGTTTAATGTGTTTCCATGTTAATTTGTGTTATGTTTGTGTTTAAATTTGTATCTTATTTATACCCGGACTGATTTATTAGCTTTGGTACAAAAAATTGTTAAAATTTGATAAATTATTTGTATTGTTAATAAATTAATATTATTTATTTTGTTTGTTGTTCATATTTGTATTTTATGTTAGTTGTTTTTACATGTAATATTGACCTTTTAGCGTAGTAAAATATGGAGTTTTTTAGTGTAATAAAATATAGAGCTTTTTAGTGTAGTAAAATATAGAGTCTTTTAGTGTTGTAAAATATAGAGTCTTTTAGCGTAGTAAAATATAGAGTCTTTTAGCGTAGAGTCTATGTAGTTTAAGTATGTAGTAACTCCAATTACACTTTACGAAATTAATTATTTAATTTATAACAATAAACTTACAAAAGTAACAAATTAATATGTGTTGTAAAATTAATTCAAATATCGAGCCTGGAACTCATACATAATTAATCAGTCCAATTTTAAACATAATTAATTATTTAATTTATTTAGCTAACAGACACAATTCTAAAAATGTTGAAATTAACACGCATAATAATTAAGGATAACTCGGTGCTACCGGGCCTCAAATATCGATCCTGGAACCTATACATAATTATTCAGTCTAATTTTAAACATAATTAATTATTTAATCTATTAAGCTAACAGCACAATTCTAAAAATGTTGAAATTAACACGCATAATAATTAAGGATAACTCGGTGCTACCGGGCCTCAACTATCAAGCCTGGAACCCGTACATAATTATTCAGTCCAATTTTAAATATAATTAATTATTTAATTTATTAGGCTAACACACACAATTCTAAAAATGTTGAAATTAACACGCATAATAATTAAGGATAACTCGGTGCTACCGGGCCTCAAATATC